CTCTTTTGTCTTTCAATTCCATTTTTCCACGAACTTTTCGAAGCCCCCGCTTATGGATGGAACCTAAGTGAGTGTCTCGTTCTTCTGTGACGCCGATTGGGGTCCAAGAGTAAGCCCTTCCCACCCCATCCATGCCCACCCAGAGCTCAGCCTATGACCTTATGTGGAGAGAACGCCTTTGCAGAGATTAACGGGTAAGAGGAGGCCCAATGGGATTAGCACACCTAACACACGGCCACTGAGTCCATTCCAACCCATAGCGACCCTAGCAGACAGAGAGCACTGTCGCTCGCGGTTTCCGGGGCTATAAATCTTTATGGGAGCAGAAAGTCTCATCTTTCTCAAACAAGTGGGTGAGGGGTTTAAACTGCTGACCTTGTGGTCAGTAGCCCAACTTGGAACCCACTATGCCACCAGGCTCATTTTATGGGATTACAGAGTGGGCCCTAAGTCCCATGTTCTTATAAGAAGAGGAAACAGAGTACACTCAGAGGAAAGAAGGCCAGGTAGAGACAGACGCAGGGACTGGAGTGACCAAGGAGCACCAAGGATGGCTGGGAGCCACCAGCAGGTAGGGAGAGGCAAGGGCGGATTCTTCCCTAGAGCTGGAAGAGAGAGCGTGCATGACCCTGGACTTTGGTCTGGTCGACTTCAGAACTGCGACAGATGTGTCTGTTGTTTCCAACCACTCAGTTTATGTGATTGTCTCAGCAGCCCCAGCGAACGAATACACTTTCACCCCACGACTGAAACCCATGACGCCACAAACACAAGAACCCCTTACCCTGCAATCAAATCTGCCGATCTTTAGCAGTAGTCTGATATTCCCATCTTACCTTCCACCTCTTACACAGTTTGAAACCTCCACTAGTCAGACTGCTGTACACCACACGTCTCCCAGTTGGTTCTGTCTCCCCTGAGGGCCTATACAGACACTAGGAAGTGCAGGGCAGAGGCCCAAGGCATCATTTCCAAGGGCACCTGAGTTAGTTTATTGTGCCAACCTGGCCAGTCAACACGTGAGGTTAATTGAAGGGCGGAGGGATAAATGGCTCGGTGAGCCTCACCTTTCTAGTTCTCGGATCTCTTGCTTTGGGATGGTCGCACCAGGTGCAGCTGCCTTAGCAGTTCCCTGCTTCAGCTTGCAAGGCTGACTTCCTGCAAGACATCCCTAAGGAGAAGCCACATGGACCTACCCCGATGCAGCCCTGGGTGCTGGAGCAGTCCCTTGGAGACCCCTGCCAGCGCTGAGATGTTTACACATCCACTGACTCGGCTTTCCCCCTGCAGTCGGCATCGTTGTGTCTGTTTTGTGAGATGGAGGGGGACTTTGTGAACTGGTGTTGGACATATGGGATAATGTCGGACTTGTGAGCTAGACAGCACTGGGTTTGTTTCTCTAAAGTACCCAGACTAACACAGTACCACAGCTGCTCTATCTGCACCAGGCATCCTCCAACCTCATCTGGAAAAACGAGAAATGAAAACAAACCTTCCCACAGTAATCAGGATAATCCTAGCTACCACTCAAAGGGCCTTGTGTGGGTCAGTCATTGGCTGGGGACAGTATGATTTCGCTTTTATCTTTACAATGGCATAGTAAGGTGGACATCAGAACTCCCGTGTTACAGAGAAGTGGAGCCAGAATAAAAAACTAGGGCTAGCATTATATGATGAGGATCAAGGATTG